CCCCCATTTTACTGGTAAAAATTTTCCCAATCCCCCCCTAATTTTCACCGCCCCCCTTCCCTCTGCCATACATTATGAATGCAGCCTAAAAGGAATTACATGTACAAAAATAATATTACAGGAAGAGTTGGAGTGAACATTYGAGGAAATACAAAATAACCAAGCAATGGTAGATGCCTGATGGTAAATAGTGTATAAGGCTACAAAATAGAAATAATTTATTTCTTTATAACTGAAAGGATACASAAGACATTGAAAATATACAACCTGGTAAAAGAAAAGGCTACAGGTAAAGCACCATCAATGAAATTTATGTCGAGGTAATATTTCAGTAATTCCTGGGGAGACCACATAAGATTCCAATAATTACTGGACAAGATTTCTGGAAATTTTGAATTTGGAGGTACTAGCAATAACTGGGATTCTACGGTGCTGGCCTGCATGTTCCTAGGTTGAAGTATGCAAAACTACTGTTCAAAGATCRAGACCATGATGCACATACACCCATCATAGATTAATATCCCAGCTTAACAAATTCTTTTATTGTTTCTTAGTTCTGTCAGTGAAAAGATCCAAACTGCAAGCTCTGCACAAGTGGAATCTCCAGATCTGAAGAGCATCAATGACAAGCTCTTTGCATCCATGAAAAATGTTTCTGGAAGAGGTCAGACAAGAAAACAGTCTTCAAGTCCACCAATTGACAATGACACAAGATTAATAGATGCAGAAATACAAGCAAGGTATTCATCATAGATCCTTATCATTTATGAGTTTGACCCCCCTCCCTCCCCTCCCACACACACACTTTTCTGTGTGTTCCATGGTCATGTTACTCCCGAGAGTATTTTCCATTTAAGGAATGAAAAAACTGATTCTAGTTTGTCATCATAGTAAGCTGAAGAGCATGAAGAAAAGTCTTCCAAAGAACTTACCCAGAGCCAGCCTTCAAAACAACTTGAATGATGAGATAATAAATGCAAGAAAAAAGCTAAAGTGCATCTATCCTCAAGGGTAATTATCATTTACACGGTCAGGGAACACTGAGACACAGCAGAGGCAGGGGGAAGGGGCYGAGGAAACTTTTGCACTCCTCCAAGTCTAGTTTCTAGGGCTTAGAATACCAACATTAAAATGGTGCAATGTTTTTTCATTTCAAACCACGTGTCATTCCCAAGAGTTTGCACATGAGAAGACACATGAATAAGGAACACAACTCAATAAATAATTYDRTTCTCTAGGGAATGAMACGTGGTCWGAAATAAAYATTGCACCAAGACRAATAAGGTCTACTAATSCATGTATTTTCTTGCATCCCACACAGYTCACGTAATAGCATGACCACGCCTTACCAATACAGCAAGCAGCAAAGAGAAACCAAAAGAACTCCAGACGAGTATCCAATGTTCAATGTGGCTCTTGTTTACAAGTTTAGAAATGCCAGAAGTCCCTGTGTCAGCCCAAGCRGATGTTTTAACGATTCGTCTAGTTTTTGTAATGATAGCCCTGCATGACCGAAACAGAGGTGACCGTTATCACTGTTTTTATTTCAGCGGGGTATTTTWAAATGAGTTACAGTAAAACAATATAGTCAAACGTCTGTTAAGGGACATTTAGAAATTTGACCTGCAACCTATATGGTATATGCCGAGACAATGGGTATAAAATTTAGAAGTTTGACCTGAAATCGCATTTGGGGTACATTTAAATAGGCATAGGGAACACRTAACTCAACCAGTTTCCCATTACGGCAAGAGTTATAATAGTTTAAGACAGTACAAATAAAATAGAGGGTAGTAAAGAAAATAACGAAAAGACTTCAAAATAGCCCAACACGAGGCATAGGCCAAAGCTAAGAGGTCTAATCGTCTTTGGCAGTCCATAACTACCCTGGGTGCCAGAGGTTCCTTGTCCTTCCCATTTCTATTTGTCTTTTTCGCTTGACCCTTGTCGCTTCGCGACTCAACTCAAAGTCCCTCTGAAATCCAGGGTGGTCTATAACAGGCTGTTTAGAAAGCGCGAGGCAGAAGCCAGGGCAAAGTTAGAAAAAAAGTTAGTTGGCTATCACAATAGAGCTAAAGTAGCGAAGCCGTCAGTTAGACTGTGATAGTGCGGTAGTTAGTTTGGACTAGGCCTGGGTAGAGTAACCGTTACCGTGACAGTTACTACCGAAATCACTYGACTGTTAGCACCGCCAAAATAACAATCGATCGCAAGTTCGATCGGAGATGTCAAAATGATCACGTGACATTAGTTTTCTATTGTTTGAATGTCACATGACCTCCACGTGACCACTGAAGCGCTCCAAATGGTCACATGAGTTAACCAAAATTTAAACCGCGATCAATTGATTGGAGGTGCGAACAGTTTAGTGATTTCGGTAGAACTACCTATAATTGAAAATAAATTCTTGATCTTTTTTAAAACTAGTATTTTGTGAAACGTTTTGATGCGCTACAAATTTAGACAAAGCTAAAGTTCAGAATTAAACACGACAGGGTGACCATTACAGCTATTCACCACCAACGTTGCTAGCATTGGGTTTTTYGTGGTACTGAAGATCAATCTGACCGAACGTCATTTCGTGGAAGACCAGAGGAAGCCCATTTCAGCGCATGCGATTCACAACTAGAGTTGGTCTACTCTCGAGCGTCAGTACGTACCGTCCCACTAGTCCTTTCAAAACTAGGGGGGGCACTATATATACCCAATATCAAAATGCTCATTTTTTTGACTGCAACTATACAATAATACTCCTATATTCTATGTCCGGGAAAAAGGATATTGCCGCTAAACAAYACTACTAATCCCAGTACACGAGTAACGGAAAGCACAAATCAAACTGTAAATAAAGGTAACGCACGTGAGGATTAACACCTGGGTCGTAAGACGAAAAGCCAACGCACGTTTAGCATAAATAAAAACTAGCATGGCGATACAGTGAAAATAAAGACSCTTACAGAAACGGTAAAATAGTCATTTAAATATTACTTCAGTGCAAGTGTACACCAATATAATAAGGTAAAAATATTGAACAGAATTTATACCAACCAAAATACGCGCAAGACAAAACCAACCATATTCCTTTGTTTTAGAACCAATTAACAAAGTAATTAAACGTTTAACGATACCTCGTAGTTTTTTGGGGGRAAACAGGGCAACGTACATACATATAACGTACTTTATAAACTTTCATTTTGCTCTTTGACATTTAATGGTAAATRTTTTTAGTTCTTATACCGTAGCTTGAAAAGAAATGCGAACGTCTCAATTGATTGTTTTCAACCATTCCCAAGAGAATTAAAAAGCAAAAGACACGGCGGCCATGTTGGAGGATATAACAAAAGAATTCATTGACAGTTCCTCCAATATGGCAACCGTGAAAACCATCAATTCGAACGAAACGATACAAGGCTTGTCTTTGACCAGTGCGCCGTCGACAATCTACTCAAAATTTACATCTTTTGGTGCTTCAAAAATATTATCGAAACCAAGAAATTAAATACTTTAAATCAGAGTATTAATAAATGAAAACTGAGTTGAAGTTGTAAAGTACGCACTGGTTGTTAGGACCTAGTTTAAATAATAGCTGATATCGGCAAAAACATGTCCTCGGATGCGCACGAAGCTACGGCATATCGAAAGCTTGCTTCACGAAATATACACCTATTTCAAAAATCGTTGTCGCACCAAAAGCCTCAAGCAACAAGCCAAGAGAACAGTATGTGTTAATAGAAGTTRATAGCTAAATTTTGTTTCACGGGTTTATAAAATTCGCTCTATCATTGATTTGGTAAAGGGTAGAGGTTCAAAGGCGTAAAGTTATAATCTGGTCTCTAATATGATCAGAACGAAGGTAAAAAGGGATTGGGCTTGCTGTGGTATCTCGACCTTCGTCACACCACAGGCARTCCATACTTTTAAAAAGTAAACAACAAACGCTCACTACAAATAAACATTTTTTTGAACACACAAAAATCATACTCATGTTTTCTGTTTTCACTTGATCAGCTTTGATCGATACGGSGATACGGTACAGAATCTCCATTTTTTCCCTTTGGGATAAAGATTTTCTTTTTCCCCTTTGCGGTATCTATGGTAACCGGCTGTACGCCGCTCTATTTTCTGTTTTAGCTTGTTATCTGGCAGGAACACAAGCGAGGAGTTTTCGAACGTCTTTTTCGATTCCTTGTTTGATAAAAAAGAAAAGAAATGAGAAAATATAAGTGGAATAAAATCAAGATTCTCACCGAGTACCCCGAAAAGTATCCTTCTCATATAAGYCATAATTTTTCATTAATCTTAAAAAATAACCGCGTGAAAGTGATTTTTCTAGTTAAGTTAGACTTTTCACTATAATTTCAAGTCAAAATACTAAAGTAAAATTTTGGCATGTTCCGACACTCCACCAAGGAAAAGTCCGATCCAAGAAGAGAATCCAGATTCGGATTTTCCACAATCTTGGATTTTGAGGCAAAAAGTAACAAATTCTAAAAGAGCAAGTGAAATAGGTTTCAATGGTGTAATTTGTTTTGTTTTGGTCGTAACGGAAATGGTTTTACGAGCATCAATAGTATCGACCAGAAAGCCACTTGAACGCCTACACAGTATATATACCACACACCCACCTCCTTTTTTTTAGGTACTACAATTGTTATCTGTGGCACCAAACTCTGGGCGCTAGCTTACAATACAGATTGAAAGGGTATCCTTTCTCCGCAAAGACAGACCAAACATACTAAAATTCAATGCGATCTCTGTTTTAGTCGAGCTGTGGCTTTGATTCGCAGGAGTATCGTACTAAGCTAGGATTATCCAAACACGGTTTCTATATGTGGTATATGAATCAATCATAATATTTTGTTACTTGTTACGCGCTATCGCCAAATCACACGATATCCCATACTATTGTCCTTAGACCTTTTAGGAAACTAGGTACGTCTGTAACTATCCAGGCCGTTTAGACAAGCTGAAAAATCGAGCCCGGAAAAAAGAATTTTGCAGCCTGTTGTATCGCACAAAAAGGATGTCCACTACTGGATTGGTCTGTACCTTTACTCTTTTTAACGTTCATATAGGATCTACTCTTAATGCTTTATGTATCCTCTAAGYGGTAGCAAGCAAAAAAAAGCTTCAAAATTGTTTTAAATGTGAGGAATTCAAGGTACCGCCGCTAAAGACTACATACCGGGCGATGAGGGACCACATAAAATACAGTAAATGTATGTAATTTGGGCTGCGAGGTGGCCGTGAAATGCACTCTACGCCCGGGATGTAGTCTTTTCCTCAAAACGCACCATTCATTCCCATGCTAATCCTTATATTCTTTATTCTTGCAGATGGTTGTATCATGAAGCAATCGTACACGAAACAGGGACTGATAACGATGGATTTCTATCGGCGCTACTGTTAGCATGGACAAAAAGCGACAAACAACAAGTTCGATAAGAAATTTGGGGACATTTTATCTCGGCAATAGTATTTTATACATGTCTAATACACACGAGACGATCCGTCTAACCAGATGTCATTTCGTCAGTGATCGAAATTACTGTTTTTTRTCTTTCCTATTCTTATGCCATAACTACGGCTCCTGGCTTTATTGCCCATCAGGTTGTTTACCCGAGSATAATTTGGATTTGCTTATGAGCAACCTTCGCGTAATGAATAAGGTCTACTTTATGTGAGAGTGGCTGAAATTGCAAAACTTCAATTTCACCGAACCTGATCCGCAAGTCAGGGAACAGTCAACTTAGAGATGAAATTGGAATTCATAGGTTTTTGGAGAGAAAAACTTTCGATTCAAGAGAGACCCAACGAACTTTTCTCGCCTCATTCAGAGTCTGGCTTGCAMGCACTTCTGTCATGAGACCCCAGAAGTAAAGAGGGGAATGCACCAGAACACCACAATTGATGACCACTGGTAAAGCAAAATGTAAAGAGTAATCGCARTGCCGACGTCACAACCACGGCCAAACCTTTTTGCCTTCTGACAAGATCTGCTGCCATGGACATGTTCAGGGGKTACAGCAGTACCTCACGTGACCTTAGCGATTACAACAGTACATCACATTCATTAAGGAGTACAGCAGTACTTCACGTTACTTTAGGGAGTACAACAGCACCTCACGTGACCTTAGGCAGTACATCACATGACCTTAGGGAGTACAACAGTACCTCACGTGACCTTAGGCAGTACATCACGTGACATTCATTAGGAAGTACCTCACGTGACCTTAGGGAATACAACAGTATCTCACGTGACCTTAGGCAGTACATCACGTGACATTCACTAGAGTACAGCAGTACCTCACGTGACCTTAGGGAGTACAACAGTACCTCACGTGACCTTAGGCAGTACATCACGTGACATTCATTAGGAAGTACAGCAGTACCTCACGTKACCTTAGGGAGTACAACAGTACCTTACGYGACCTTAGCGAGTACAGTAGTACATCACGTAATATTCCGGAGTACAGCAGTATCTCACGTTACATTTTAGTCACTGCATTTACTCAGTGATATATAAGGAGTACAGCGGTATCTCACGTGACATTTTAGGAGCACTGCATTTACTCACAGACATATAAGGAGTACAGCATTAACTCTATACACGAGTAAGAGGAAAGGAAAAAACATCAACCAACTTGGATAGCCGCTTATTTCCCTGTAGTAAGCCGGACAAAGCTTAATTTTAATGGTGGCCAAGTATTTTTGACCACAGTTTATTATGCTGCTTTAAAATTGCGCAGCAAACTTCTTATATCGTTGGAGAGATTCTCACAATCTTCGTCGTGATCCAATAATTTGCGATCTGCAGTCACGTGCGCCAASACTTAACAGAAGCCAAGATAACGTGACTTGCAGTCATTGCAATCATCAAGACTCCGAGCTGAGTTGAAAGCTCAACAAATTGCTTTCAAATCCAGTGTACTGTGCCTCAAAAGTTCATCGTTGTTTCTTTAATATTTTACCATTACAGATGGATTTATATCCAGCGGAAATAAAATTACGTCACTGCAAAATTGAGGTGTCAGGAAGCCTGTGAAAATTGACCAGCGAAAAATAACAAAAATATAAAACTCAATTAGTTATTGTGTTACTGTTATCAACCTCTTAGTAGCAACGATATTGCTTCATTTGGTCATAGTTAATACTATGATTTAGTGGCCTGGAAATCCATAATTACAAGAGAAAATGTGACACCTCAGTTTTGCAAATTTTCTCGTATCTGATTAGCAACAGTTCTCTCAGATCAGCTGACCATAAATGATTGTATCCAACACTCATGCACAAATTTTGGGCACTCCTATGTGACGTTTGGACTTGGGCAGTATAGCTTCGGCTTTTATAATGCCTGAATCAGAATCATTTTCCAACTAATGAAAAAGGTTCGGTACACGATTCATTTGGCCATTTAATCAGATAATTTTCGGCATTCTTTTMTTCTCTTTTACAACCTGTTTTTCAGACCCCTCCACAAGAACGCCCACTTTTCGATTACCTTTTACCAAATATTCACAACACAACATTGATAATGTGTCATATTATAATGAAATTCTCGCCGCGGCGCGTGAAATCTGATAAACGTTCTTTGTGGTAAAGCAAGGGAACGCTTTATTATTTATATTAAAAATCAGAAAAATGTTGGAACGACCACATCAAACATTAGAACATTGTTTAATATGCCAGAATCACCAACGAATGCCAGTGACTGCTCGGAAATCCATCTCGCAACTCTACAAGAAACATATTTTTTTGAATTTTCATGATTACCGTTTAYATGAGGAAGAAATATACCCGGCCATGAAACTATTTTTGTTTGTATACTGCTGCATTGATTTAGATCTATGCAAAGAATAAAAAGATTGTCTACAAAGACACCGGCGAAGTATACATGATTTGTTCTCGTGTAAAGAGAAGTGAAGACAATTAGGCAGTGCCCACCCCGCAGGGTTTTTCTTTTGTCGGTGTCTTTAATTGTTTGTGTTTTTCAAATCAACTAAACCTAAAGTTTTCAAGTCAACGTCCAGCATAAACCGGTCATATTCGACCAGCTTTTCAACTTGGCTCGCCATGAAACCATAAACAGAATCAACTTTGGCGGACTCTTCAGAAGTGCCGAAAGACTTATGTGACCATGGATCTTGAGAACACCCGTCCTGTATCATTATCTCCATCGGCTCTTTCAAAGTGATGTACGATCGGTCTCTTCTGTGCCATAGCATAAATAAGCACCACGGCTGCCTGTGAACTACGCCTGTATCCAGCCGTTTTTATTAATTTGAGTCTTAGAGAGAGGTGAATARTTGACTAGGAAAAATGATTAACTCCACTGAACTCAGCTGGTTCAAAACCAAAACAAATCCGTCGTAACAAAACGATGGACAACAAATCGAGAGTCGGTGACAACTCTCAAAGCCATAATCGATTGGATTTGATTCACCCTTGATAATTCAAATGTCTCTTTCTCTGTAACACCGCGGACAGCGACATGCTTTAATACAACGTTGTAGTTATGTAGTTTTCGTAAAGGAGAATATTAACTTCGTGAATTGATTTGTAATAGAATCAGGGCTGTGAACAGCAATACTCTCASTGATTTCAAGCTGCAACAACAAAATTAAAAACGGACGAAAGAAAGRTATCAAGTAACATGATACCTTTTCCACTTCCTATTTTGGAATTACRAGTGGATGATGTGTCCTTCATGTTTGCTTATTTTCCTTTTCTTTATGTCCGCTAGAACAGTAAGTATAAGTCCCATAWTTTTCAACATGAATTGAATAGTCAAGTTATTTTAGAATCGAATTTTTCGTAAACATGTTAGGGTAAAAATTAATTTTTCGGGAGTGGAGTGCGGAGATGTCCGTAAAGTTTGCGTCTTTGGTTCTTAAATCTTTAGAACTGACGGAAAACCCGAATAACTAGTGAATTTTAATTAAGAAAAACGAATGGCACGCCCATTTTAAGGGGAAAATAAATTCTTAAAGTCAAAAAGTAAAACCGTTCATGTTTTAGAATCAAAGTCAAGGAGACCATGAAAGGGGCTTATTGAACGCTATCATATGGTAAACAAAGACAAATGGATTATACTAGAGCATGTGCGCCCGACATAATCAGTTATAACGGTATTCTAGGATTTATTCTAAACAAATTTCAGTATAGTATTTTGTACATAACATTAATTCATCAAACCCARAATAAGTTAATCTGGTGAACGACGCGTTAAGGGCAGACTGTTTTATAGTGACTATTAAGTGAAAAACATACTGATTTGATTCGATGTTCCGATTTCCAAAAAGTGAAAAAAAACAAACCGGCTTATCGAGACTGAACGAGGGATGGAGACCACCCTATTTCTGGCTTTGGATTGGACCTCCATGACAGAAAGAAAAGGGAAACAAGAAATKATCGTCACAAGAAATTACGGTATTTTCCAAGTCAAGAATTCATTTTCCAATCAATGAATTTCCATCGTCACTAACTTTATGAGTAGAAATCTATTGCTCAGCAGGTCGAGAACCAAAATACAGGGGTAAACCGATATTAATATTTAACCACTCATAAGAGAAGGTTTATCAGTAATATGACGGGGGAGGGGGCATGAAGATGTTGAACTTTATAACTGATATTAAATTTTCAGAGCCCCCGATTTTTGGAGCTGTCAATTTTTGGGGTCCTCYCCAATCCAGTATCAAGTAAAAAAATTACCAGTCCTTCCCTTTTCCTTCATGCCCCCCTCGTTATACTAAATAAACTTTTCCTGCTCCAGYTCCAGTTAACAATTGTTTCTGAGTATATCATTACAGTGCTTCGACAACGGAACTATGATAAACTCACARAAGGACCGGGACTGGTTAATTCTTTTCTTCCGCGAGTCAGAATCAGATGTATCGATATTCCACTTTGCGCTATTTATAGAATTCATCCATATGCCGAACAGCTGTATGATTTAGTTTATATAATTTTGATCCGACAAAGAATAACGGCACTGGGATATCGTTTTAGTCCGTTTTGATTTCACACTGCTTCACTATGGCAGCTAATAAGCCGGGGTTCCACGAAGGAGAGCTTCAAGTGTGACGGTTATTTTAGGTCAATTAGACTCRCTGCATGTTGGCTACAAATGTGTAGTGGCTCTTTATTTTCAAAGTGATGTACTGATAGTTTATTAGTGAAAGGCAGTCAAAGAGAGATGGACTTGATCYGACATCTGCGCTGTCCTTGAATCGGAGAGACATGATGAACACTAGAAGCAGCGCACATGCCGCAGGTTTTGAGCCAGGAACGCAGAMTTTAATCCGGTAGTGCGTTTAGTTTACTGGTGGGATTAACACGACGACAGAAAAGAAACTTCGACATAAGTTCCTTATTTAGAAGAAACATACGGGACAGGTAGTAGAATATGATAGGCAGGTGACGGGGAAAATCCCCGAATTCGARCAGAACACTTTTTATATCTCCACAAACGAATAAAAAGGATTTTCAGTAAAATAAGAGCGATTTCTGAGTTCCCATTTAACTAGTGAATGTAACTGGATATAAAAAAGTAAAAGAAAAGAAATGGAAGAAGTTTAGTCACGGAAWTATACGATAACTGACCAGGCTGTCATACATAAACACAGATGTGAACATGCATTTGACATGGAAAAAGTAGCAAGAGTGGAAAAACCGGTAGATTACAAAAAAGTGAAAGAAATCGTCTCGTGCACTTTTATTAAATATTTTTCTTTCAGTTAGCTTAGTTTGAGTAAATAACACAGCCACTCTAAACAATTTTCATGGATTCCGGCATGTTTCAGCATAAATTAGTAGAGTCGTTCTAGCTGCAAACAAACGCGTAACGGACCCTAACTGTGTAGCAAATTAATGATTGGAAGACTTTAAAAGACTTTCTTTAGCATAAACGAGCGGCAAATCCACACAGTCTCAAATTAGCTATCGGTGCACACTCGAGGTGGCGCACCTAACTAGTGAGAGCAAAATATCCAAATRAATCGCGAAAGGTTGGTGGTATATAACTATTTTGGAATCTGAAGGCACATCTTGATTATAAAACCTTAGTGCTGAATACGATGCATGGTGACATTGTTTTTCACTCATCTTCATCGCGGCTTGGTTGAAGCCTTTTGAAAGCCCGATCTTCATCACATTTTTATAATCCTTCTCGTTGGTCTGTTTGGATGGCCTGTGATTAGTTTATGGTGATTACAATTGAGAGGCAGGGATTGGACGTTGCTTATTCTTGTCGGGATACGCGGCTTACACATAAGACAAACATTAATTGACGTTTCAACGGAAATAATGAAAAAAGTCTGCATTTAGTAAATCTTCATTTTTAAGAAAAAGATGAAATGAATTTCTTTTGTAGTTGGACTTTTTTTTGGAAGCTGGATTATTCTCATTTCGGTTAATAGAAGGGGAATGCAATATAGTAATCACTCATATAGCTAAGAATCAGTAAATATTAAGTAAGGAAGATTATCAACATGATTTGTTTCATATAGCATCGATGTCCAAGCTATTCATTTATTTCAATTCAACATGTCACAATACTAGTAGGAGCAGATCAACAGCAGATATCTTTTCCTTCCTTTCATCTGTACGGAGCTCGGATGAGGTTTTATTTTTTTGAGCTTCGATTTTCTGTGGCTAATAGAACGGACGTCCTTTCACGAAAGAAGCACAGCCAGCTTTCGAGACCAACGGAAAGCCGTARAGTTGATTTGATGAGCACAAGTTATGAAACGAAAATGAAAGGCGCAGAGAACATGTGAGAATCTAACACAACAGGACATGTTTKTAGTCCAAGGAGCCGCCTAGCAAAGTCGGCGAATGATCAAATCTTCCTACCACACGCTGTTTGACCTGTAGTGTTTATCACCAGAAATCTTGGTTAAACCTCCCGAAAATATATAAAGAAATCGAGGTTCTGAAGGTTGTTTTCCGTCATTATCCGTCGGATCTCAGCATTTCTAGTTAAGCGAGAGCGCTCGTGGTGATATCGATGTCGAACGCCAGACCAATGGCCGATGTGTTATTGTAGCGGGAACCCTTTAGATGCAACAGGGTACGAATCACTAGAAAGAATCAATCTAGAGCGGCTCTTTTACTACTCTTAGGTGGTTATCCATCACTAGTTTTGAAATTCATATTTCATGACGGTATGACGCGGTTCCATACCCCCCGTTTAGGTTGTATTCATTTCAGAGTCTGTACCTGGGACGCAGAATGTAGTAAGATAAACGTCATATCGGTGATCAATGGAAGAGAAGGATAGAAGGATAKAAAAATAAATAAAGAATCAAAACAAAACCGAAAGTAAAATTAAAAACAAAACAAAACGTAACAAAGAAAGAAAAAATAAAGGTTTGGTAAAAGATTGGGAAATGTGAGTAGTTTTCCTAGACCGTCAGACGGGGACTAGAGTTTGAAAAAGAGTAAAGGGACAGCTACAATATCCATGATCACTCTCGTAATCAAGTGAAAACGAAACTTAATATGAGGCAAAGTTAAGCGTGATGACTTGGGTGCATATCATATACCTTAATTCGGGCCCGTAATAATGCATTTTCCTTGCGTTTATTGGAGTCATCGCGGCGAAACAAAGTTTCAATTAACACAGGCCAGTGAGAAGCATACCGGTCGATACAATCATTCACCTTCATTCTTCATTGGTGCGGCAGTTTGAAAAAGCCAAAAGGTTTATGAAATATTTAGAAGTTCTCTTGTTGGTTAATTACCTGAGAATGAATAAATGTGGCTTAAGTCATTGGATGTGGCCAACTCCCTCAGAAGAAAAAAAAAAACAAGTCTTACTTGTACTACCGTTCGTAGTTTTGTCGTTACTATCGGGTTAGCTAAGAATTCGAGATTAAAGGATCTTCTACTCTTTTATTTGAACCATCTCACTTTCTTCAGCAAAGCAAATAAGTTCTCACATTTGCATGCATGGATTTTAATATTAAACACAATGACAATCATGAAGTCAAACAACATAGTCTTCTATGCCCTTTCTAATATGCCGCTTACTTAAATGATATGAACGACTGGCAAAGTCATAACTCGTCGGCGAAGTTTGAGAAAAGCGATGTCGTCGTTGCGTCGGATTATTTAATTAGCAAGGCAATAGAAGTGGCACAATAACTTGAGATAAATTCTAGCTTTGAAGATCCGCCTTAGGAAACCTTTTCATGAGAGGTACTTGAAGATCCTAGATATTATACATATTAAAGCAAAAAAAACATGAAATTAGGTAACTCTTCCTAAGACAACTCCAATAGGATTGGAGATTCTTTAATCATAACAAAACGGAACGAGACCCAAGTTAGTAAGTAATTTCGAAATTAGAAAAAGTTGTGTTAATCCGAGCAACCAGACCATTAATGATTTTTTAATTATTTTTTGACAGATTCAATGATTGATAGAAGAAGGCGTGCTTAGGTTGGCGGTCAACTCGCATCGGCGCGTAAAGAACAAAAACAAAAAGCACACGAGTAGAATTCAACAGACGCCCCCAAAGGAATAACTGTGTCTTGGTGTCGTTGAGCTGTAGCACCAAACAGAGCTACGAATCCACGGTTAGATCATCATCCTTCAAGAAATGCTATAACCGTAGCCCCTAAATCATCATCTTGACCACGATGGAATACAGCGTCTGCTATCTGTTGTTATGTAGTGTAACTATACTGTTTCACGTGCGCGCTGGCAATGTGCAAGACACACAAACCGCTTCGGTCGAGGTTGTGATCTACGAAAATACTGGCCATGATTACACGACTTATACCTATGAACTCAAGGCAAGTTTCTCAAAGGCTGGCGCAGCAACCAGTGCCGAGGGAGACATTCTTCAGGTAAGTTKTTTTCAATTTAAATGATGTTAAACATTTCTGCTTCGAAAGATTTTTCCTATTGAAAGCCAAAACGTAAATAAACCACGGGTCGCTGTTGCGTTGTGTGCGTAGACCCCGAAACTACGTTACTTATGGTTGAAGGATACTCCAAATGTCTTCTTATCTACCAAGTATCTCTCAGCACCGGCGATAGAAATTGAAGTCGTTATTTGATGGGTATATTTACAAAGTGGCTGCCAAACTACGGCATGCTTAAATACTCTCAAGTGCATGGTCCGTGCCTGTTGTCGGTTCGTTTTAATGMGAGCAACGATCGTTTTCATTCATCGCTCGAACATTGGCCTCTACATAATTGTAATTATACTAGCCTCAAGCACTGTCACGAAAGATTACGCTACGCTCACCAAAACATCAAAACAATCGTTCACAACCGGGTAGAAAATCTTTCGGAACATGGAAWATATAGTCTTGATGCGCTTGGGTTTTGACGAGTGTTAAAATATTTACTCTAGGCCTCTCGAAGTAACTTCTCCAGCGAGTTCCGAATGTCGTTCAAAMAGTTTATGCATTCTTATCGCAACGATTGGAGAATCTCTTAACTTAATGAAAATTCACTTTACCATTTGAGTGCACGCATAAGATTGTTTTTATTTCGGTCCCAAATCGACGAAACTACGACTCGARCCGTGTTCATTTCACGTCCCGAGTGATTCACATACGTGACAGGACTACTCTCTTGCAATCAATTAGTGATGTTATATTTCAATTTTAATATATTGCGGGGTTTCCTAGCTAGATAAGCGTTTCTTGACCACCGGTACTAAACTCTGTTACAGCTTTTATGATTTCCCTCATCGCGCTGTTCATCATTCTTTGAGTATTTCTCTTATAAACGACAAGATTTGCAAAGGAGAGGTCGATAGGTCACTTATGTGTGCCAGGATTGAGCTGACCAAAGTGTATTTGCATTCCGGAAGCAAAACTTTTGCTTTACGGACCAAATAATAACAAGCACGTAGTGAGTACCGACAGGAACTGGCATGAGCTATATTCATAGGATCATAATACGCGGTTTCTTTGCGGAATAAGGCTCGTACTAGAGCTTTTCCGTAGCTTTGATGGACAGCTTGTTTTCTCATTAGGTTTGGTAATTATTTTACAAGGCCGCCAAATTGAAATAACTTATGAGCCATCCGCACGTCACTGCTGTATTCCACACGTGGCATCAAGTGTTGGTTTATCACTACCAGTGCATTGATAGTGTTATTTTAGGGTTTATATGGTGGCCTTTTAACGACAGAAACCACCGGGGAAAGGCTATCCAAAGTTCGTTTATTTATACCTGGTAACGCTTGCGAACCAAGCGGGATTACATGTGAGATCCAGTGTTTGTCAAGAAAGGTTTAATATAGCAAATAATTATTCCACTTTCGTATATCATTGATTTAATACTTTCTTCAAAAACGTTAGCCATTACCTCTTCGGGTTTTTCTTTCAGTGGTGATTGAGGCTTTTCAACACTCGCTCAATCATGAGTTATTTCAAGGATAAGAGCGGAGATTTATTATTATTTGGTAAGGTCGGTTTAAGTCGATCTATTGAAATAAGGTCTAAGATAAACACTAATAACGAAAAAGAAAACTAACTGGCTGAAACAATCTTGGGTTGTTTTAAATGGACCCAAAAAACAAATTYAATTTTCGACGCCAAGTTATTATATGCGTCCAATATCGGCTCTCAAAGGACCGAGGCCCACAATGAGCGCAATTACAATTTACACAAAAGCGTTTTGACCGCACTTCAGAGATAATTAAAAGGAGCAAGCTAGTTTTGAATTAAATTGAGAACAATACAATCATTTACCATTTAGATTGCTTTTGTTTTGGCGGTATTACTACGCGAAACCCGTGGAGTTAACTCAAAAGTGTAGCCTTTGTTTTCAAAAATCTATCTCTCGGATGATATTAAAACCGAGGGTGGAATGGCTTGCGCTGGTTTGAAAAATTGTTTATTGTCACTTTTGATTATTTGGCGGTGTTTTGGGCACATCAAGATAAGGGTTTTCTACTCGTATATCCATTCGCTTGATTAAACAGCTCATATCTTTTTGGAAATTAAGAATTGCAGTTATTGGCTTAAAAATGGCGCAAGATGTAATAGTGGTTTTTTAATAACTTTTCAATGAAGCATAGATGACGGGATGGATAAGACTTAAGCTCAAGGAAGCGTGTTTTCTGCGATATATGCATTCTATTTATATTTACATATATCTTTAACTTAATACAGCAAACTTATATAGTGCTCCCCCCTTTTTTGAACATTAATCTCTGTGATATATGTCCTCGAGTTAATGAATCTTTGCGGATTAGCATCATTTCACTTGAACTTCGGCTGATCTCTCGAGTTAAGTGGCCGTGCGATAAAATWGATAATTACTTCAAATTACAGATAATCATAGTAAACATGCTCTTCACTTCAAGAGGCACATTCAAAGACATGAATTAACACGTACGAACCCCCCGATAAAATTTCTGCTTGTCTGCACATCTTTTATTAACTATTTATGTCACACAAATTCCACTAAAGTAATAACTCTTTGACGGCCCGAAACCGCAAGTACCTTCGCTTTCAGATATACGTTTATTAATTCTCTGCTTGAGTGACCTTCATGTGAAGTACGCTTTGATTTGACTCTGAGACGCTCGTTTCATGGAAGGAGCGGAATTTTATTAGGATTATCTCTCACAGCCGCAGATCTCGTCTGATCGTTTCGCTGGTGTCAATAATCCTAAAGTGAAAACCCACCCGATCCCAAACAATGAGTTTTTATTGCTCGCGGTCCTTTTGAAGAGGGCCAAATTACTCAAAATTTGAAGACCATCTGCTTCTTAACGATCAGTATTCTTTTACCGAATGATTCTCTTTGTAAAGAGTTCTGACATCAATCAGGAAAATAGAATCATAAGCGTATTYGAGAAGCCGAAATTGACTAATCCGAGCTATATTTGGTCTCTTTTGGATCTCTTTTGTATAACAGTAMTTCCTACTTCCAGTAGTTGTGTATTCTTTTATAGGATTGCGATGATTTGAAATGGCCATCAACATCTGTAAAATCAATTGATGTCGTTAAGATGTGACGCCTAACTTAAAATCATTCCTCGGAGATCAGTAAATCCATTTCAAAACGATGATGAGTTTCTAAGTCGAAAAAAAAGTTTATATATAGCTAGACGTGGATCCTCATTTATCTCCATGTGTTTGAGACAACTGTTTTTTCTTAAACTAAACTTTGGGTCTCAAATTATAAAGCTTATAATCACGAACTTCCTAAACTTAGRAAATAAGTAAAAACAATATGAGTCATGCTGGAAATTTATTATGAATAAAAGAATATAATATGTATATTTGTTCAATGTAAAAGTGTCTTTGAGTATGGTGAAGCAAGTTGCTGAGTGAGTATTTCAAGAGAAGGTACTTTCGAATTGGGATCAAGAATTCTGAATAATGGCTGTAATTTTGGTTGGATTTGTGATATCAGATTCGAGAAAAAGGAAGAATAAATCAACAAAGGAATCTAAATCATTTAATATGAGCCAAAATACCCTCAAGTATAGTCTAGGCCACCTGCAATTTAAAGAATGGCCAATAGCATTTCAATACTTTACCAGCTCCTTTCCAAGTTCTACGTTTAATTAAATTAAGTAATACTGACARCAGAAACAATCATTTAACCAATGGTGAATAAGGTTTGATGGATTGATATTATTTATTTTTACCATTATATTATTGGGTTTGTTTGTACGTGCCTATGTGAATGAGCAGACTGTTTTCCCAWTGCAAGGAGGTTCTAGCTGGCCCAGTTGGTGGGGTAACAATCTGATGCACAGGAGGTCATGGGTTCAATCCTCAGCCTATCACTTAGGGTCTTAAAACAACTGAGAAAGTATGCTGCCTTTGCAATCAYATTTACAAATGTTTAGACCAATTCTATTTGAATCATTAAAATGGCAGACTAGCTTCTTCAGATGTCCATATTTACACTGAATAGATACAAGAGATACCTGAAAACAATAAGCTAGTCAAGCATTGACTATATTTTATAATGTAGCCTCCAGTTATTTTTGGTGCAGTTTGGTATTAAGAATACAGYTTAATAATAATCTAAGTTGTCAGTGTATGTTTTCAGTATGAGTATTAATCCTAAAACATTTTTTATTGTCTTGCTCATCCTTTAGAACTATTTATTATTAGATAGTTTGTTATCATTTAATAAATCTGGGGTTAACAGTAAAACAATACCTGTCTGATCTGTGGTTTGACGACCGTAATTTACAATTATTTTTCCAATAATCTACTTCAAGCATTATATTTTGGCTTTATGAACTGTTTACACCTTTKTCAGATTGTAATGTCTGTTATTCCTTTGCAATTGCAGATTCATCCTCTTGGCTTATGCAATACATCTGATGATAGTGATCTGTATGAGTATGGCTGGGTAGGCGTGGTCAAGCTCCCACCACCTAGTGTGGAAAATGTGCCTTGTTTTTCATTATTTCAAAAGGTAAGTTGTTAGAGGATATATGAATRAGAAACTATGGGATTGATGTTTAAATAATGCATAAATGAATTATTGTCTCTGTGAAATGTGGTGAACATTACAGTTACTGGGTAATAGATGTGAGTAAACACTCATGGCATTGTGGGTCAAAGCTATATACATTCATTCATCCATACTTTTGCAAAAGACCAAAGATAATTTCAACTGTTCTCAAGCACAAGGCATCTTTAAAAGAAGATATTGAGTTTTGAGTACTAACAAATAACAAAAAAATTGTAATTCTCAGCTGTTAATTTCAACTCAAAGAGTTAATTTTGTTGGTCACATGTGGTTGAGAATAGATATAGTTGCCAAACTTTTTAATTAAAGGGTTGTTAWTTCTAATAATGTTTGTATTATTTGATTGCATTCAACCATAATATTTAGACTATTGTCGTGTAGCCACCAATGAAGCGGTTTGAAATGCTCTGTTGATCTGGAAATGAACTTTCTCTATGTCAAAAATTATCTTATCTTTCTGTCATTCTTATAATTTCTTATCATTCTCATTTCATCTGTTTTAAATATTCAACAAATCAGAATAATTATAGTCGTCCGCAGACTGCTTAAGTTATAATTACTGTAGCTTAACTGCATCAAAAAACCTCATTTATTATGCCGACATTCTATAGATATCAAAGCCACAATTATAATGACATTAGTTTCATTTTTGATATGTCCTTTTCAGGCTAAGAGAGCAATGGAGAGGGGTGCCACAGCTATCATATTTGACACAAGCGATAATCCTGATGCAGTTGCAGAGGTAGATATGTCTTTGATTACACATTATAAGTCAAAGGTCATAGTGGGAGGAGTGTTCATTTGTGGGACATCAAAACTGTTGATATTTTAACATGCTGCATGGTATTAAGTCCAAAAATATTTGTTCTCTTAAAGCTAAATGCAAACAAAGTCAAAGCTAAGAGGCCAATTGTGGTCATTGATGGATCCGATGCGAAGAAGCTTATAACCATAATAAAAAAGTATGTCAAAAGCAATTATTAATGCTAGATTATTTTATTTGAGTGTAATATTAAATTAATTGATATATTTTTCTTCTTTTTTAGTCAAAAATTATCAAGGGCAAGAATACGGTATGGTGTAGCTGGTTATACACCCCAAGTATGTTAAAAAAATTTTTTTTGCACTTTCTTATAATTTATTTTGTTAACTTCTTTTTTTATGCCTTCATGGTAATGAGATATCACAGTTTTTAAAAAGTGGGAAGAAAAATTGAAATTAGTGAAGGGTGGAACAATTATTTTTGGGGGCCTCTGATCTTTCCATGATTGATTTTATTTTGAAATTATGTTAATTTTTTCTTGCATTTTTTTAACTGTCATTATATTTTGCTTTTAGAATGGKTTTTGAAATGGGAAGATATTTTTTTAATGTATTTTGTTTGTACTTTTTACTATCAACAGAGATCAGCCAATGAATATCTTGATATGGTCATATTTATGACATTTTTTATTCTGGTCTCAGTCATTTGCTTTATCTTGTTGCTCAAGGTAAGAATGTGACATTGATATGAATATAAGGACTTTTTAGTTAATTAATTTGGATTTTGACCCAACATTTTCTTGGGGATAAGTGTCATAGCTTGTGCTAGATCAATGCTGATGTATCTCCTTAAACATAATAAAGAAGGAAATAATAGTAAAGAGAATGAAAAGATGATTAAAATGGGAAATGTTGTTTCCTCATGTTATGACAAAAAAAACAGGAGACTTGTTAATCATTATTCCCTTTAGTCCCATCTATGTTTCCTCATGTTATGACAAAAAAAACAGGAGACTTGTTAATCATTATCATTATTCTTAACAATGGTTTATCATTATAACTATTATTGTTGTTAGTGTCAATTTAATTGTCACATGAATATCAATAATAGTATGATCTTAATATAATTGATTTTTTAATAAGCATGTATTGTGTTTTTCAGATAAAATGGAGACAAAAACAGAAAGAGGTAAATATAGCTCTTTAGCTTGGGCAAATGTTTTCCCTTTTGAGACCACACCTCATTCCCAAGAGTTTCATTCGTTTGTTTGACGGTAGCACACGAGAAGACACATGAATATGGATATGACAAAGAAACATATTCTCAAGAGAATGACACATGGTCTGAAATGGGAAAACATTATGCCAAAGCTAGAGGCATAAAATTTACACAGTTGAGGAAGAATCAGTTATGCTGTTTTTATTTATTTATTTTTGAAATCTTCACGTTATGCTGTTTTTTTGTTTTTTGTTTGGAATTTATGTTTTATCTAGATGCTTATTCTTATGCTTCCTATCGTTGCAGACCTCACTAACAAGGATGGCATTGCATGCCTTATCAAGAATGGAAACTCGAAAATTCCAAAGCGATACGTGTAGTCTAGACCGGTCAAGACTGGACGAAGAGGCCCTTGGTGACTCAAACATTTCACTAAACAAATCTGAACATACCTCTAAATGTGTGATTTGCTTAGAAAAGTTTAAAAATGGCCAGGTATGTCTAATAAATTACTAAATCATATCTCACTGCTGCTATTTTGGCAAAATGAGGTTCCCGCCATGTTTTTTACATTTTGCTTACCTCTTTGTAGGATGTCAGAATAGTTCCCTGTCGCCACGAATTTCACAAAGACTGTGTAGATCCTTGGTTATTGTCGAATTTTACATGTCCGCTGTGCATGCTGAATATTGTAGGTAAGTAAAACCAGCAAAAAGAACAACATAAAAACGTCGAGCAACGAAAGGTAAAACGCCTTTGCCTCGTGCAATCCCTCTAAGGTTGGAACTTCATGTGCCATTATTTTTAATGATTCAGCTAAATGTAATTTGACATCAAACGCTATGTATTGTACTACACGAAGTATCTTTCTGGAGGTCCTCAACGCTTCATAAACCACGTGACATAGACGCGCCTGCGTTTYCCCTTCTTTTCGCGCCAAAACGCAAAAAATGGAGCAAAAAGACATAAAATTCATATTTTGAAGTAGGCAAATAGTATTTATCGTTAATTAGATTAACTTTAAAAGTTCGAGTTCTAATAGCTTATGTTTTTTTTCACAGAAAGAGAAAATACAAAGAAAAAGCCACGCAGAGCTCGTCGTTGGCTTATGATGGGGTGTGGTCGGTGTTTGTCATCCGAAGGAAGTACACAAGCTGCACCTATTAATATCTTACACCAAGATATGCAACTTACGCAAACACGGGACTCTGTTATCAACGTTACTCCAGAGAACAATGAAAAGTCAGATGAAGGGGRGCCTTTAGGCATACCCTTGAGCTCGATGAACATTTCACAAAATATTTCACACAGTAGTAGTATTTCTCTTATCGACATGCTGAACAGAAATTGTATCAAACATGAACTGTATTCTAGTGGACTTTCGGTGATCTCCAAGTCGGAAAATTGTACTTGTTATCTGCCGCCGTTCGATAATCCCAAGGATTATACSCACCAAATGGTTGTTGTGGCTCCACTAACAGGTAGGACATACTGAATTTCGTTGTACTCTAGGATTTTTTAAATKTTAGTGACCACATTTTATTCATTTATTTTCTTTCACAAAATATTTTATTTACAGTGATTTTCTTGGCGATTTTCATTCCCAAAAAGAATGACCAATAATTATGGCGGCCATATTTGATGCGCTGATGAATATTTTCATCCAAAATGGCGCCGCTACTGTGGAAAGTCACTCAAATCTACATCTTYTCCGTCTTTATTTTCTTTAGCAGATCTACTTGATGTATCAYACGAAGACATCGTATGACATTCGTYATGTCAGTCCATACGAGTGATTGGATTAGTCGCTCATCAGGCCTACTATTACTGACAATGGCGGCGCCAAGTAAAAGAAACTACGTGGGAAAAGRACAACAGAACACTGTATAATCTCCAGAATAACCAGGAAATCGTAGCCTTTCTTTGGTTTGTCTTATGTTATCYCTTCAGCCTGTGTTTCATGTGTGCTTTAACGTATTTTATCTGCCGTCGTGTTTATGTTGTTTATGATCCAAAACAAGAAACGTGACGGTGAACGTCGCACTGTTAATTTATAAGCTTTGGCCGCAATGGCAGGGACCCGCAACAGAGGCCCATTAAAAAGCAGGCTTTTGAATGCAGAGCTAAAAGCAGGAAAATGGCGTTGGGAACTAAATAGAGACGAGGAAACACTGCAAAATTGAAAAGAAAGGAAACGAGAAAAAGAAAGAAAAAGCAAAGAAGAAAAAGGAAAAAATAGAGAAAAAAAAAAGACATAAATTTAACTGAAAAATCGATATGGAAATCAGGCTTTACAAGGCAGTCTGTTTATGCTCGAAAAGTCCGGCGTCATGAAGTACGACAACTGATCTCGCCGTGGCGACACGAAGCTTCCAGTGGTGACTTAAATTATTGAGAAAGAAGTGGACGTCCTGATGTATAGCCCAGCAAAAATAACACGCATAGGAAAAAGAAGCCGAAGTTTTTGTTCTGAAAAAAATGTTCGTYGTCTGCGAACTTAAATACGTCGGTTGTCAAGACCTATTTTAAAAATAAGAAGTATGAACTAATTTAAATATATTAAGTTAATAGAGTCAAATATTTACGACAAAAAGTATTTTTTAAGGTAGCTATTTGAATTCATCACAATCAATCATAAATTTTAGCGCGTGGCGGACTCAAATGGATAGAAACACGACGTTGCATCAGTTAGGTTCACGGATGAAAAGGCGGGGTGGGTGGGGGAGGGARAGTATTTTGAGCTTCTGCCAAGATAAAGATGASTTTTGGACCACTTGGCATGGACGARTCTTAAACCTATCTAATTTAAAACGGTCAGAAAAAGTCTTGGAAAGTAAATACTCTTTGTGAGAAAATGCTACTCGTAATTCTTTTGCAATATGTTTTATAATTGGAGAATTGTAGATTGTTCCTTGTCCGAGAATTTAATTGTTAAAAGCAAAAATCCAATGACCTCAGAAAAGTCGTCTTGAGAAATCTGCTCAGACCCAAGCTGCCTTTAGGTATGATAGGAATAACAAGGCAGAATATGCCGCTTGTTGGTGAACTGATTATTTCTTTCCATGATCCCAATATACATTACAAATAATAATAATAATGATATAATAATAAAAGTAGTGCCAACCACACTGCGAAGGTTGCGCTTAATTTGATATATACTTGTACATAGAAATCAAAAAGAAGGAAATTCTATTTTGGATAGCTATCATGTATTAAATTGTTATCTTGTTCTGATTTTATTTATGAAAAATAATGCGAATAATAAACCCATTTTATAACACTGATAACGCTCTTTGAAGATTGTCTCAATACATATATTTTTTGAATCTCTAATTGCACATGAAATGAGTGCATGCAGTCGTTCAAATACATTCTTGGAACTGAAAGTTGTTTCCCTTAGCAGCGTTAGGCACCAAACATCGCTGTTGATAAATGAAGATTCATCATGCCGAGCTTAATTGTACCCGGGTGAACGAATTGATCGTGAAAATCATGAGTAAACCAAACTTCCCCAACAACTAATGAAAACTGACCTTCGTAGTCTCTGATTATCTAGAATGCGAGCTGTCCTCCTTTTCGTTCCAGTCTCCGTAAAAGCGAGTGTTTTGGTTAAAGTGGGACCTCTCGCAGTCTAGTGATTATCAATAACCCCAACTAACATCCCTAAAAAGTATTCATAATTTCAACTATAATTTTATTTCACTATTTATTTTTAATTCATTTTKATTTGTACATACGTTTGAATTTTCTCCCTATGACAAAATATTGCTCCAAATTTTTACAAACTATATTTTCAAATGCATCGGTCAAAAGCTACGTTCCAAGGGGGTATCTAATTAGAGCGCGTTCGATGCTGTATAACTTTCTGATCTGGATTTTTTGCTTCCATCCAACAAAAAATACCATTACTACTCAGACGGTTGGAAATATGATGAACGGAACCCAAAAAGTCGAGAAAACCACTAAGTGAACGACAAATAAACGAATAACGATCGTGATATTTATGGAATGTCCATCTCATTACAAATCATTACGACATTAGTTTTCGGGAAAAAAGAAGCAAAAACACAAGACTGTTTTTAATTCGAGTGGGCCGCGAACAAACGTTTTAAACATTCTGTAGAAATAACACGTTTCGTCTATTAACACAGTGGTGGTGAAACTTGTTCCCGAAAGTCTATTGTTTAACTACCCAAATTTTAACTCATTTATTTTGTTACCTACAGCTTGTCATTTTTATGACCTCAATTGGTATTAMGAAAATGGACAAAACAATCCCCATGCTAAGAGTGGTCTTGAATCCATCCACGTGAAGATTTTGGATGCTATTATATCCAACATTAGTATGACTTGGAGCAAGTTTGGCTAATTTGAAAAACTTAAGCAGAAAGTGACTCATCAGTTTGTGACTTAGAAGTCACACATTCCCACCCCTCTCTTAACATCATCGTAGGTTYGGCTTAATTTGTTTAGTAGACAGTGGTCCGTGTGGGCTTTTAGCGCCATTAACACTTGCTCCCATAGGTGTGATATTTGTAAATAGATATTMAAATATTTCCAACATGTGTCATTTCCTTGCAGTTTTAGAAGACAAAACATCGGCAGTACAAACACAATGCATTCATTCCGCAAAAGGAATTCTTCTCTCATGGCAACTACTTCCTTGTTCAGCAASCTTTACATTTTTCTCTTTTCTGTAGATAGTTGCCAGCCTGGTTAAACAACTTTCACGGTGAACTTTCCTCCAGATTTCTGTGTTTATTTTATAATAACACTTATAGTGTAACAAATTCAAGTTCAAGTTCAGCTCAGTTCAAAGCATAAAAACTCCGTAGCCACCGCAATTTGTCAAATTTCTAATTATCCGAAATGAATTTTCTTTTTCMATTGTTGTCTATTAAAAGCATTGCTTTGTTGTCAAGGTCTTTGATTTCACCGGAATGCATACATCAGTAATAATATAGTGCATACAGCAATAACACAAGCCAGGATGATAGAATCGCGTCTTTTTCGTAAATTTATCTTCTGCATCAGGTTGTTTAGGGCTGGAAATCGTTCTGTTTTGATAAGTTAAGGTAAAAAATGAAAAAAATATTGCAGGAAAAATAACACCGGATTGTATCAAACAACATTTTATGCTGTACCATATCAGATGCTAAAATGGTCATATAAAAGTCCCTTCCGAATGAGTAAAGCCTTTTTGTTTCTGTACTTCTTTGTGCTTCTCTAAAATACTATAATACTGCGCTCATTTCTCGTGATCATACGAAAGCTTTTGCCCCATGTGAAATTCTTAAGATTTTGAAATTAGCGTCAGATCTTTTTATGATTCCAGGAACAATTTTTTTTCGATCTTCTAATGGAAGAGTCTCTAAAAAGTAAATTTATTCATTTAACCGAACTGAGTTTTTGATGAAGAACAATTTGTTTGTCAACTTGTCATCGTCTTGTTTGAACAGTCCAGTGTTTTGATAATTCAGTAATACATTATTGTTGACTGATTAYGAAAGTTATCGGTTTTGACCATATGTCGACAGAAGAAAATAAAACAAATATGTCAATGGAGTTTACCAAGCCATTTTGATATTACAAAGCTTTTCCAGAAACAGATGTTGTAGGTTTTTAATTAATAATAATAAAAAAGTCAAAATGTTTTTCCAAAAATTTCCAAATAATGTTTTTTCAAAGAGTTCCAAAAATACATAATAATTGTGAAAGACGTTTGGAAAAGTAAATTGCTGAGAGAGGGAATTTGTGGGTCTCTCTATCATTCAAGACTTTTTCTCTAGGTTCTCTGATTTTCATTCCTGTGATTTAGCCGTGCCGTGACTTTGATCAGCCGAGAGGTTGTTTTAGGGTTCGACCTGTGATAAACTGCGCTCTGTCTTAGATCAGCCCAGAGGTTGTTTCAGGGTTCGATCTGTGAGTTAGCTGTGCCCTGACTTAGATCAGCCCAGAGGTTTTTTCACTATTGTTTGATCTGTATTTGTTATAATATGGTAGAAACGAGATGTTCTTTAAAAGAATTTGACAGGGGAAAGGTAAAAGGAAAGTTCACCATAAATCACTGATTCCTCCAAACAACAACTAAAATAGAACTGAACGAAAACAAAATGTAGATCAACAAATAAGAAACAAAGAAGTAGTTCGTTTGGTCTTTAGAGCCACGTGGGTCAATGCATGAAAAGGCGTTTAGGTGTATTTGAGAATCACTAATCTGCATTTCAAAGGATACGTGTCACGTTGCTAAGCCGACCAGTAACTCCATACAACACTCCCCTTTGGCTTTGTAGATTCTCTTTGGTTGCCAGGGCGATTCTTTGATGAAAGAGAACAATGTTAATGATTCTTTTTTTTTTCTTTCAATATAATGAAAAAATATCTAGAAAGTTGATTTTGARTATTTCCTACTCTGTGTTGGATGGAAATATTATGTGGGTCTACTGTATTGAGAAAACATACCCAATTGCTTCATCTGTTAATCTATCAGAACTGTAGAAAGCATAATGAAAATAAAAGAATGTAWGAGAAATTGTTGAACAGGTGTCATCAGAATGATCATTATCATCACCACAATCATTACCATCACCACCTCGCTTATTACAATCACCAGCATTACCTTCACCAACACCACCAACATCATTACTATCACCACCACCATCATCACAATAACATCATTTCCTTCAACATCATTACCATCACTATCATCATGATTAACATCATTACCTTCAACATCATTACCATCACGACTGCCATCATCACAATAACATCATTACCTTCAACATTATTAACATCACGACTATCATCATTACCTTCAACATCATTACCATCACCACCACCATCATCACAATAACATCATTACCATCAACACCACCACCATCACAACTATCATCATTACCTTCAACATCATTACCATCACCACCACCATCATCACAATAACATCGTTACCTTCAACATCATTACCATCACCACCACCATCATCACAATTAACATCATTACCTTCAACATCATTACCATCAAGACTGCCATTATCACAATTACCATAAAGGTAGTAACATGTAACTATGTATAACATTGTTAGTTCCTCCAGCTACGAAGCTGTTATCCCAGGAAGCAGATGGTGTGCACCTTACCCCCTCACATTATTAACTCTAGGAGCAGATGTAGCTCAGTTGGAGCWAGGGGTCCACAGTTCGATCCTCAGGATCTCCACGTCTGTTTTGAATTCTCAGTTATCTGTGTAGCTTCATTTTAATCACCATCATTAAAATCTTCATGCTCACTACTACCACCATCAATGTCACCATCATGATCATCATCACTACCATTACCATCATCAATATCATTGCCACCATCATCATCACCATTAATCCTTTATCCTTTATACATTCTACTCCAATACATTGAATTTGTAATATTCTTTTAAAGATAACATACTTTCTTATGTGTTCGTTTTCCTTGAGGTACAAGTCAGTTCTTCTGTTTAATCCCGTTTTGTATGCACTTAAAGAATAAGAGAAACAACAAAAACAAAAAAAAAAAAGAAAGAAAGAAAAACGTGTCAGAAATATAAGAATTTCCAATTTCCACACAGAGGGAAAGGCCAACTTACTTGATATCTCTTTGGACTGAACCAAGAAGGTCTTCCCTGTCCTTGTATGTCTGAATATTAGCCTTATGAAGGAGATGAGGTAATTAACAATGGTTAGTGGTAGAAGATAGTAGATAAAATTTCAGTAAAGCAAGACTGGGCTATTCAGGAACGTCGGAGACGGGGGGCTAGAGGGGCTATGGCCCCCTCCTTTTCTACACTAAACTTGTACATCTCCTTGCACGTTTTATATCACTTTAATCTGAATTGTAGTCCCCCCCTATTAAAAATAACGCTTCGATGTCCCTGCTATTGTCTTGAAGACCATTTGGGCTGCAGGTCAAATACACCTTTCCCAAATTTGCTCCACTACCACAAAACAATGGTTCCAAGACTGTTGGACTTGATAAAATGCAGTAAATATATATTATATGTTTTAGGGGTTTTGCACCATCACGTGCCCATGCCCATAATAAAGCTTGGGCTGGCTGTGCTTAGATGGCAGAACAATGAGAGAGAATATAGAGAATATGAACATGGAGAATATGGAACTAGATAGAAAGAGCTACTTTGGTGCCTTGCAACACCAAGAGCCAGAATTTATTTACATTCATATTTTACATTCATATTTTATTTTACTATAATAGAATCCCTTTGCTCTTTGAAATTGAATTCTCTCCCATGTCTTGTTCCTGACAGCCAACATGGCTGCCGTCACACGATGGCACAAAACCTCTATAGTACATATAACTAAGTATTGTTTCCTGGWCACTTCGACAAATTCCAGACAGGTCTATTGCTTACTATCAATCACGTGACTTTTTGGAGTTGACTAGGGGGCAAACAAGCAGTTGACTGGGGGGCAACTAGCAGATGCTAAGTSAAAACATATCAAAATAAGTCCTCAAACTATTGTATTTGACTATTTTCATGACATGAAACCAGAAAACAAGAGATCAAAACAACCTCCAGGATTCTACAAGCCATCAAAAAAGAGCTATTACYGGAAGTGACGTCTATTGATAGCAATCTATTGATGTTATACATGCACAYATTACAGAGGCTACACACACATGCTATCYRCACATGCTTCTCACACAGGCYACCMAAAGGAAGACAGSATGGCTGACAAATGCCAAAAATMTACACAAAATGCACATGCATATTGTGTGAAGTTAACATAAATCAAGGCTCAAAACAACAGCCTGTCAAATGCCAGTTTAGWTCAATGGCCAAATTAGTTTCCAACTACTGGCTGGAAAACCAAATAAAGACATTGTTTCTTAAAACCAAGGCAGTGRCGGATCCAGGGGAGGGGTGCAGGGGGTGCRCACCCCTYCCTGGTTCCACTTTGTATTACTTTCATTAAAGTAATGGCTCAACAATACCTTTGTTTTGGTAAACTCATGTGAGTAGTCTTGTAGTATATCCCTGTGTCTCTGTAGCGTGTGAAGCTGTGCTGCATTWGATTGTCCCAGGGTATGTAAGCCTGAAGCATACTCAGCCATTGAGTCATTTACTTCTGTCAACTAGARTAAATAAAACAACAAAGAGGTCAATCTCTGCAAACATGAACTATACACCAAACGTTTCTATGGACCTTACTTATGCAGCAGTTTATTTGCATGAAAATAAAAACCATCGCTTACCCCACATAAATGTATTCTAAAGCACTTGAATTTGATGCTACACATGGGAAAATCTTTTGTTTACGAGTAAATCTATTTATTATGAGTAAMGCCCATGGGGTCATTTTTTGTGTGGTATGCATTGGAGAAAAGCTGTGGTAGATATTAGCAAAATATGAGTAGCCTAAAGACCTCATCCCCCATCCCCTCCCCCTTCAGTTACTGATGTAAACAATGCCATGCCAAGACRCCAAYAACAACACTGTCAGCTTAACATAAYGARTACCAGTATTAGTCTAATACAAGTACTGCTTTATCTATGTCTTGCTGAAGTATTCCTGGGCGAATGATATAAACTTATTTCCATAAAATATTACAAAGTTCATTTTATTTTTTTAAATTAATATAAACATTGATTACCATATTTCTGACTCAATRACAATCACCGCTATCAAAATCAACTGCAGTAACAGTATCGTGTCCCCTCGTTAATGTCGACAATTTTTATGTGGTTAGCAAGAAAAAAATGAAGAATAGTTATTTGAATATTAAAGATGTACAAACCTTCGATAAAAGTTGTTCAATTTCGATCAACATCGTCTCGAACATCCTGTCTGAAGAACTGTTGAGAAGAGGTGTTTTGTCCGAGCTGAGGAACGATGAGATTATTTGAAACACGGCAAAAATATCTACACATTCATAACCTTATTATCGCACGAACAAACCTGTCTTTAGAGCCATCTTGGTGAGTGTACGACGTTCCAAGTTTACTGAACGACACTAATTTGAGGTCGATTTCGTTTTCCAGCTGTCTTGCTTTTTTCCTCAAATCTAAGCAGAATAAAACCGAGAAAAAAAGTGAAATTTTTATCAAATGCAGAACAATCCTTGATCAACGATACTCTAGCATTATATTCGAAATATGAGTTTTGTAAAAATAGGAAATTAAATTATAAATGATAGTACCTTCCCATCGGTTGAGCGGAGGGGAAGCCATCTTGTTGATTCATCTATTAAACCCGCGGTGTATTCTGGGTTTTGAAACGTGTAATAAAACCGCTGGCTCTCTTAACGAAGGCTCATATGTTTCCAAGGTTTACCGCTGATATGCGTATTGAGGGCTCTTGATGGTTTTCCACCAATCAGATTGAAAATTGTTTATTCAGTTCGAAATTCAAACAAAATGGATTTTTGAGTATAAATAATTTCTACGATTTTGAGTTATTTTGAAATGAAATAGTCAGGTACTATGAAGGTACAGAACACGAACACCGAGGTGAGTCCTTTTGATAGTCTCWAAGGAACCTTCAGACCTTATAGATTACGAAATCGGAGTAAAATCCTTAGARCAACAGCCTCCATACTTCATCATCTTTTGCAATTTGAGCTCAGATATTCATCTGCAATATTCTCTGCAATTTCACGGAAAGATATATTTATTTTTAATAGAGAATGCATTTCTTACCGTTATAGATCTAAAAGGGATGGGGAAACGATACTCGATTATGGAGACGAAATTAGGAGCCAGAATAATTAGCTTTTTTAAAAGTATTTTGACTGATTTTCAATGTGAAACTTAGGTCTGTCTACAGGGRAAAAATAATGCACTGCTTGTCAGCGAGACCCCTCAACACCAGCCAAATGAGAGGCAAGATGTAGAAGCGAATAAGGTGGATGACTTGACAGCAATAACCCCTCTTACTGAGGATGCAGGTATGTTACAATGGAGGCTACAATTTTCCAATCTGCCAGACAAGTCATTTGATATGTCTGAGTTCCTCAGAAATTGAACATACTYAGAATATATTCTTTTGTATCCAAATTTCTAAATTATTATGTTTTAGTTGTCAAGACAGTTGAAGAAAGATTCAAAGCTGGAATCTACTATACTTGGGCAGGTAAGGCAAACACCAAAGGTGTATCCATAAAAATCCAAAATGAGAGGACTGGGACAGTTGGGGTGAGCCAATCTTGACATCATCATGAACACAGCAACTTAGGGCAGAGCAAAGGCAATGTTTATGTAAGAGAATTTTTCATAAGGTTAAGGGGGTAGTCTTGTTTTTAGCCATTCTTAGTGTCAGTCCCAAACAAATCATTAGCATGGGGAGGGAGTTTGGGACTAACACAAAGAACTACTGCAAAGGAGACTAAGGGCGGGGGTGGGGGTCATACTCCCATCACCAATCTACCATACTATAAGTAGAAGTTTTATTTGACAGTGGTTCCATTCTCCACTCAAGGGTATATTACAGGCTATTCATGTTAAAATAGAAGCATAATGTATAAACTATCAAACTGAGCTGATCCTTGTAGTATATGATGCAACTTATGCAGCTGCAAATTGAAAGATTCTAAAAAAAATATTTTAACCCATGCCCTGTATAAACTATAGCTATGATAATTTATCATTATTGAATGGTACCCATTAATTCTTTTYTAGGCATTCCTTTGGTAGCAGTCAACCCCTGTCAAGATGTCGATGAACTTTATGATGATGAAACTGAAGCAAAATATAGAAAGAAGAGTGCAGTAGAGACAAGGGTAATAATGCAAGCACATGTCACTGTACTGTGTTATAAACACACTGGAAACTTCAGAGCATGAAAGGGGGGCAAATTGTAATTAAGTAATTAGAATAGGTAATAAATTATAATTCTTTGTGTTTCAGGGGAAAACACAATTTCTGATTGCATTTTCCTAGTTTTTAAACCAGTCAGTTATCTGTAAAAAATATTGAGTGGAACTTAGACCATAACTATGCTTAGACTCAGTCATTCTCCTTATGTTATTATTTAATCTGTTTTCTACTGTAGGAACTTCCCCCTCACATCTTTTCCATTGGACAAAAAGCATACTGTGACTTAAAGAGAGGTTTTGAAACTTCAAATCAATCTATTGTAATCAGTGGAGAAAGTGGGGCTGGAAAGGTTGGTGATTTAACTGATAGGACCTTGYTTTATCACTGCATTAAGCCGTCCACCCAGGAGTGGTAAATATATTAGATAGATCTAGCTAGAACTCATTTTATCACCTGAGGTCATTTTTCTAGGTTCCAGGAAAACTGTCTCAACTACTATGACCTAGCTATTTGTGATAATTTGGGTTACAATTCCCACAAAAAGCCTGAGTACTTCCCCTTCCTTATTTCTTCGGGAAACCATTCTGAAATTTATTTTACTAAAATAATTTTTTCATATTAAAATGACAGCCTTCAAGAACAATATAGTTCCAGTTTGATTTTCATCTGCACATCAAATGCCATTTCTCTTACTCTTCTCCTTTAATTTTATTATTAGACTTGGACTACTAGAACATTGATGCAGTTTATATCAGACATGRCAGAAAAAAGGTAAAATAACAGATTTGGTTCATGTATGCATGAGAAAGGTGGCTGCTAAGAAAGACCCAATCTAAACAATAATAATAATAATAATGATAATAATAATAGTAATAATAGTTACATGTTTTGCCAGGGTAAGCTCGTCAGCATAAAGCTGTTATCAAACCAGCTGCATGTACAATATCACTACATTGCTTCCATTCAACATAAAGGTTCCAGCAATCMGTGTATTAGTGTTGCACCATGTGTCAACCTCTGTAACCATAGACCCCTTTCATAGATTCCTAAAGCAGTGAGCGTGCTAAATTTTGAGGAAAAACAATGATTTTGAATTCTMGTGAGAGTAAAACTCTATTCCTTCAAATTGAGCTGCTTTTGGGAAATGCTGCAAGAGGTCTACAGTGTAGCGCACACAACGTTACAGAAGTAGAATCGTGATCTGATGCTGTAACTGTTGTGTGCAACAAGTTTCATCCAGTGAACATGATCTGAAACGTTATTGGCAAAGATGCGATATTTTCAGCCAATGTTCATGAACTTCGTTGTTCCATGCAACATAAAATACACCAATTGTACTGCGTATCAGGGCCTGAGGATCACTGAACGAAACTTGCTAACAGTGTGAATATCGAGACAAATGGCAAAATCTCGGCGCGCAAAATAACGAATCATCCTGTCAGTATGTTGCAACACARCACCGTCACGGTCACGGTACATCATGTCCGGGCCGTATACTTTCACAGCAGTACAAAATCTAAAGTGCTATTCATATGTATTTAATTTTTATTGTATTTATAATGATGACTTTTCTTTCAAGAGGATAAACAAGTAATAGTGTACATATACACTAACAAACCTGTGGTCCTCATTTATCTGTGATATCTCGTGATTTCAGCACCCTAGATGGTGTCTCCTGCATTGAACAACGGATTCTAGACTCCAATCCCGTCCTTGAGGCGTTYGGTAATGCCTGTACTCTACGTAACGAAAACAGCAGTCGCTTTGGTAAATACATCCAACTGCAGTTTAACCTGTAAGTAACACTGTAAGAATCAGAACCTTAACTGAAACCWAATGATTTGCGCCAAACTTTTTGCACTTTGCATGGGATCCATACACAAGCCTGAGAAAAATGTTGTTTCCTCCTTCCGCAAAAACTTAACAYGCAAATTTCAAATTCGATCTGTGATTTGGCCGCGCCCTGGCTTTGATCAACAGCCCAAAGGTTGTTTCARGGTATAAATAAAGTTTGAAGATGATTAAAATTATGTTGCTAGGGGAAAAACTGGAGAGTGTTTCAACTAAAAGTGATGCATTAAGGAGTTCTGAAGTCTTCATTCTAGAGACCTGAAGAAAAGCGCACAGTTTTGTACAGTAATTCTTTGAGTAAATCTAAATTATAAACAAGGAAAGGGTTTTCTACTTTTAGGGAGAATCACATTGTAGGAGCAAAAATTAAAACGTACTTGTTGGAAAAGACGCGAGTGGTTCACCAAGTACCCGGAGAAAAAAACTTTCACATCTTTTACCAAGTAAGTTTCGATAAAATATCAAAATCCCTTGGTAAAACTTGCTTATTTGAATTTAGGACCAACCAGTAATCTTCCCTGGACTGGCTAAAGAAACTGGAAACTTTTTATTTTATATTTAATTKTTATTATTTGCAGATGACGTCAAATTCAGAACTTGAAAATCAGCGAAAAACAAGAAGACGATCTTCAAGATGGGGTAGGAATTCTCATTCGTTCCTTAGGTTTTGATTCAGTTATATGACTGGATAAAGAACTGTATAGCAATAGTATTGTTTTTTGCGTATTTTGTTATTTCATTTGGTGTCTTTTGTTCACAGGAGGCGAAGATAGGCAGGCGTTCGTTCTTACATGCGAAGCGATGAGAAATATTGGTATTAAAGATGACTTACAAGCAGAAATATTCAAGGTTAGCTGGGTATATAATATACTGCTGGTAAATGAATGAAGAAAGGAAGAGAAAAAAAGAAAGGAAGGAAGAAGGAAGGAGGGAAGGAAGGGAGGAAGGAAAGAAGGTAGGTAGGAAGGAAGGTAGGTTGGAAGGAAGGAAGGAAGGAAGGAAGGAAGGAAAGAAGGTAGGTAGGAAGGAAGGTAGGTAGGTAGGTAGGTTGGAAGGAGGGAAAGAATTAAGGTAGGTAGGAAGGAAGAAAGGAGGGATGGAAGGTAGGAAAAAAAGGAAGGAAGGAAGGAAGGAAGAGGGGACAGGAAAGGATAGTAACGTATGGATAAAGAGATAATAACTTCAAAAAATGATTTGGTCAGTGAATAAAAAAATGAAAGCCTGTCAAAATCTTCATTTTGATACTACCCTACTTTTAGGTTCCCCCCAACCCCCCACCCTACCATTTGTTAACGGCAGTTATATCCACCTTTTTATTGCCTTCATTAATTCTTAGATTTGTAGCACAAAATTTTCTATTTCAGATTCTCAAAGGAATTCAAAGCATSTGCAAGGTCGATTTTGATGAAGGGAAATCGTCAGAAGAACTTTGTAGCTTTGTCAATTCTGAAATCGGTAAGTGCAAGCCGGATTTTTTATTCTTCGTCTACCCTTGGACACATTTTCACCTTTTAAGTGCGTGTGTGTGTTTTCTTGCTATTTTTGTATTTCTTGTATTTTTTTCCTGTTTTTTTCTCCGGATTTTCCGGTTTCTTCCCTCCGCAAAAATGAACTTCTAAATTCCACTTCGATGAGACGTCGAGCGCTTTAAGGCACGGACACGCGGTGCAACATTGCGCACGCACGATATTTCAGGCAATGCTGCTGAAGTAGGATCTTTTTCTTCTTCAGCAACATTGCTTACTACAAATTGCGACGTGTGTAATGCTCGCAATATCGATTGCCTGTAATATTGCGCGCAATGTTGCACCGTGTGTCCGTAATTTTATTCACGAATAAAACCTAAAAAGGCTGAGCAATCAGTATTCATTCCTTGCGTATTCATTTCCTATAATTTATTACTTTTAAAGCTAAGAGAGCATGCTCGATGCTAGAGTTGGATGAAGAGAGGTTCAACAAGTGCATCAGTACAAGGCGTATCACAGCAGGCTCGACAAGGGAAGAGTTTATAAAACCCTGTGGTGTTGAAGAGTGTTTGTCTAGAAGAGATTGTATGGCTAAACTTATCTACTCAAGGTAAACCATTGCGTCATTCTAACGCATCACCATCATCATCATCATCTTCACATCATCAACTCCATCTTCACAGCATCAACTTCACATTATCATCATCACATCATCATCACCATCTTCACATCATCATCACAATAATAGTGCATTTCTATCGCGCGCATATCAACTACTTTCTCATGGCGCTTTACAAAACTAAAAAAAATATCTACAACTTTTTCAAGAACTATCGACGAATGATTATATTTATCTTCGCATCATCATCACCATMTTYACATCATCATCATCTTCCTCTTCACATCATCATCGWCATCATCAACACCATCTTCTCATCATCATCACATCATCATCTTCACACCATGATCATCATCATCATGCATTCTTTACGTTACACCAGGAGGGTATAAGGCTGTAATAATGTATACAATCTGCTTGGTTTCAGACTCTTCGATTGGATCGTAGACTTCATTAACACCAGCATCAAAGCACCAAGTCACTCAAAACACGCCTTTATAGGTAAATGGGCGGGAAAATCTTTAGTCACATATCAATTATAATATTTCTTTTTTGATTGGAAAACCCTTTCTAGACATACTAATTCGAACATTCTTGATGGATCAAAAGAACTAGTCTCACGTCAGGGTGTGCAATGGAGAGTGTACTAAATCTAAATTATGCAGTTGCACAGAACAGCTAATATTTCTTGATTTTCCCAGGGCTGCTTGATGTCTATGGATTCGAGAGCTTCAAGGACAACAGCTTAGAGCAGTTATGCATTAACTACGCCAACGAGAAGCTACAACAGCATTTTGTGTGTCATTTTCTAAAGAAGCAGCAAGTAAGATTTCAAGCGATAAAAAAATTTTATTTAACCCGTGAAACAAAAATCACTCATAAACAGTCCCACAATTTGACTCAACATATTGAAGCAATATTGGACCCAACATCTTACTTCGACCTTGACCTTCGCTTTGCTCTTTCTCTTAGGAAGAATACCAGAAAGAAGACATCGATTGGTCGTTCCAGGACTTCTCGGACAACAGAYTATGCCTTGACGTCATCGAAGGAAGAGTCAGTGTCTTTGCGTTGATGAATGAGGAATGTAGACTTAATCGAGCTGTTGATGAYCAAGGATTCTGTGACCGACTCCATTCCTCCCTGGAATCCAGTAGATGTTTTTATCAAGATCGTCTGAAGAGTCAAAGACCTGAGTTTGTGATCCAGCATTATGCGGAAAGTGTGTGTTATCAGGTGAAAGGGCTGATTGAGAAAAACAAGGTGAGAACCAATAAGATGCTGTACGTTATTTCTAGTGTTTACCTTTCCTCTTTTCTCTGAAAAACGAGTGGGAACTTTGGGTGCATAGATGGGAACTTTGGGTGCATGGATGGGAACTTTGGGTGCATGGATGGGAACTTTGGGTGCATGGATGGGAATTTTGGGTGCATGGATGGGAATTTTGGGTGCATGGATGGGAACTTTGGGTGCATATAAGAAAGGTTTGGGGAAATGGGGGGAATGTTTGGTTCATAGAAGGTAACTTTGGGTATATACTAAAAAGGTTTCGGGGAATTGGTGAAAATGTTGGGTACATAAAAGGAAACTCTAGGTGTTAACAAGAAACGTTTGAGGGAATGGGTGGAAATGAGCATGGATGAGAATTTTGGGTGTATAGGTGGATGAATTTTATTAGTTTGGCATTAGCTTTCATCCTTTATGAAATATCTTTGTATTCCTTTGGATAGGACCACACTGCACCAGAAGTCTTGGAACTTCTGCAGTCCAGCAAGAGTCTGTTTTTGAGTCGTCTGTTYTCCAAAAAACAACAAAACAAGCAACAAGAGGTAAAACATGACCAGCTTGTCCTTCTTCTTGACACTGCCGTTTTGGCCAATACATTATCATATCTGGGACAGAACAAGTTCCTAGTTGATCTTTCATTGAGAAACTGATAATAGACTTCAATGTGACGTAATGTTTCCTATGTCAGACCACGCGAGATTCTCTTGAGAATAAGATTCTTTGTTTGATTTGTATCCTTATTCATGTTTCTCTCAGCGCAACCGTTAAACAAAGAAATGATACTTCGAGGAATGACACATGGTCTGGTTAAACATTACGGCCCATTGGGTTTTGGAGCTCGCCATGTAATTAGTCAGAGCATGCGTTATGCTAAAGCTATTTTATATTCATTTTACTACAAGCAGAACACAATTCCTGGAAATACTACAACATTTAAGAAACCTCTACAAACCAGTGTAACTGTTGTCAGCAAATTCAAAGTAAGTAGTAATCGAAGCGAGATTATTGCCCCAAAAAAACTTAATTGTATTTTAAACCACCGACAAGAAAAACCATGTCAAGTACATGCCGTAACGCTGAAATGGCTTTCCAAAGGAATGGTCGTCGTATGAGTGGGAAACGTATTAACGCTCTCTGACTTACAGCGACGCGTGCATTGTACGACATGCTGAAAAACTGAAATTGACTTCCCACAGGAATGGTCTTCGTATGAGCTGGAAACCTAAGTAATTCGTAGCGCGTACAACTCATCACGACGCTTTGTTACATGAAAAATGTAGTATGTATTTTTAAGACGGAACATATATATACAGTATAGCAATAATAAGCTTATTTAGGTCCACCCCTTATAAATTCATTCATTTGACATGGTGACATCCTCTATTCTAGACGTCACTAGATCGACTCATGTCAACCCTGGCATCAACCAGTGCTCACTACATACGATGTGTTCGACCCAATGCAGTCAACATACCAAGCCTCTTCGACAAGAAACAGGTTCGTAACTTTATATCACTGGCTAACAGTGCAGTAACTACATTTGATTATTATAAGAATAATACTGAGTTAAATAATGTTGTTGTTGTTATTGTCGAAGTTACTGCTGATGTTGCTGCTTCTGCTGCTGCATAAGTTGTTGAAGTTGTCGYTGTTTCTGTGTAGTTTTTGTTGTCGATGTTATCGTTGTTGCTGCTGGYGTTGATGTTATTGCTGCTGACGTTGGATTTGTCGTATCCGTTGAAATAAAATACTGTTYTTTCTGCAGGTACTCAACCAGTTGCGCTCTTGCGGTGTAATGGAAACCATACGAATCTGCGCTGCTGGCTACCCGATCAGGTAAAGCAAAAGACATTTCTTACTCCCTCCCTCCCTGATAATGAAAATTATGATGCATCATCTTACCGTTTTTTGATCGAAGTTTATAAGGATAGAACAAAAAAGGGGGTCCTTAACACCCTGGTTTCTCAGTCTAGTGTTTAGAAATCAATTAATATCTGCGATGAGAAAAGAAGAGACTGAAAAATTCCGACATGAAGACCAATGAAAAGGAATGGAAAAAAGAAAAAAAYTCAATGAGTTCTCTTTATTCTGCTAGATTAACCCATCGAGAGTTCATAAAGCGCTACAACTGCACCGTGACGCACAAGAAACTTTCCTTGCCACTCACGCCATCCAAAGTATTCTCGACCCCACCACCAACCAAACCAACCACTCCCAGATCCCATGGYTCTACCAGCCGAAAGAGGAGATCTGAGAGACATTCAATACGAATAAGGCGGAGCGGCTACGATCACACGCCGGTCATCTGTCAATCAATACTGGAATCGATCGRATGTTTTGATGAATGGGACAAAGAAAATAACACGGGATCGTCGAGCTGTAGTGGTTTTCGGTTGGGCCGAACAAAGATATTCCTACGCGAAGAAACTGTAAGTCTAAAATTTAAATTCTTTTTGTCAAATCCTGAAACAACCTCTGGGCTGATCCAATCAGGACGCACGTACCTGAAACAAACCCTGAAACCCGGAACCCTCAAACAACCTCTGGGCTTATCCAGTCAGGGCGCGCGTAATATGTAGATCGAACCCTGAAACAAACGTTTGAAMTTACGATAATTAACTAAGAAAAACGTTTTAAAAATATAAATAAAATTTCAAACGAAATTATACTCAAGGAAGTAACACATGGTCTGACATGGAAAAGCATTACGCCCAAAGTAAAGGTCCTTTATATTTGATCTCCTTAGATCGAGAAACTCGAAACCATGCGCGAAGGTTTTCTTTCACGATCAGCATTTACGATACAGTGTTGCTGGAGAAGGTATAGAAAATGGGTTGCGAACAGGCTCAACATGGCTGCGACCAAGGTGCAGAAAGGTGAGAAATGAAGTATCATTACTACATCTCAGCATATTCTCAAGGCTTAACCATTACCTCAGATATTTGYTACCTATTGAGGTTTAAAACTTTACAAACTACCAAGGAGTCTGTCCCAATAGCAAGGAGTGTAAAGATAGCAACTACGACTCCAACCCAAACCTACCCCCATGTTTCCCCAATGCATTGCATGTGATMAATTTGTGACTTTTCCTTGGGATGTTAAGATGGCTACCACCACTTCCCTTCACCTCACCTACTCCCATGTGTCCCAATGCATTGCATGTTGTGATCAATTTGTGACTTTTCCTTGGGGTGTCAAGATGGCTGCCTCCACTTYACCTCACCCCACCCCTAATGTGTCCCAATGCAATGCGTTTTGTGATTTTGTTTTGAGTATAAAGATGGCGGAATGCCACTCCAGCTCATCCATCCCCCACCCCCCAAAAAAACATGCACACATTTCAAAATGCCTTGCATGTTATAGTCAAGAAATATWAACTTTTCTTTTCTTTCTTTTTTTCCTTTGTAGTGTTTAAAGGTTGGCTTGAGAGAAARAAATACTTCGCTCACAGAAGAGCCACCCTAATACTCCAACACCACGTACGATCTTTTCTCCTCAAAAGGAAAATTTCTAGGGAAACGAGTCAAGCGAGGCAATACACCGTACCCTCTGAAGATGCCTCCATTATGGAGACTCATTCAAACTCTTTTAGCCAATCAACTACAAGCACAGAAACTGTACCTTTCTACCTTCCACTTCACGTCGATACGTGTCAAGCGCCACCACGCCCATCGTGGTTCGCGCCGTTTGTGTCGCCTGTATACGACTCTCTGATTATGGAGAAGTGTCAAGCCATTACGCATGGCAGTATAAAACCGCTGGACAGTATTCATAGAGATCGCGGAATTGCGTCATTTCGAAGAATAGAAAAAGTAAGGACATGAAAATCAACTATGAGGTAGTTGTTTTATCATCCTCGGGGTTGAAGGCTTTTTTTTCTCTCTCGTTTCACTTTAGGTGCCCGTAGTGTTTCATTGTCGGAGAACACCKCTGACCAAAGCTGAGACACGCCCCCTTCACAGTATGGAAATTGATAAGGTAAATAAATAAACCGAAATTGATTGATTGTCTTTTAAAGACTGCAGTATGCCCACATGAATTTGCAGTAAATTTGGCGTAGCAATGTTATGGCTTCACAATTTTGTTTTTACCCAAAACAAAGATTGTAGATATCGAACTCGCGAAGTTGTTGTGACTGATAGGAATGTTTGGTTTGCGCAACAGAAACCCTATCATTTGACTGTTTTCTTTTCTTTTAGGGATTGGCATCACTTATGTCTTTACTGTGAARTGAATGAATGACAACCAAGACCAGAATTCTATCTAAACGTATTCATCGACACTCGTTGCAGGKCGTCTCTGATAAAACGATTAGCACTAATTAGGCTTTGTACACCTAAGCTCAACAGAGGATTTTTTGAAAGTTTTAAGATAAAAAAGAAAATAGAAAGAAGAAATGAAGGAAAGAAAAAGAATGAATAAGAAAATTGAAAGAAGGAAGGCTGGAGCGGATCCAAGATTTTTTACTAGGGATGTGGACCATACAGGATTTTCGTTTTAGGAGGGGATGCACCATTTTCTTACAAACTCAAACACCAATAATGCAGTAGATTATAATAATAATAATAATAACAAATTCAAGGTCTATATCTAGATATATCCCATGAATGCTAGAGTACRAACACTATAAGTGTATAACATAAATACCACTAAATACTAAATTATGCTAATCCTATTGTTTTCTATTGTTTAATTAGCACTATTTACTACTAAATAGTGCAAAGTGTTGCACACTTTTAGTGTTTGTACTCTAATACTTATATTTAGTACTTGAATGCGTAATGAGGTTAGGAGTTTAGAAGTATAAAACATCTAAACTGAAAACTAAACTTCTTCRACATTTTTAGTACAAAATAAATACAAGGCATTTTACAATCAACAGTAGAGAATCTTTATTTTTTTAAAGTATTGTACATGGATTCAAATTTGCAAACTTAAAAATGTTATGAGACAAAAACCCGACTCAACACAGTAACAACTTATTTTCAGTTTGGATTCAGATTCTGTGACTGTTCCACTCAGGTATAACAGTCTACCCCACCCCACCCCTCCCCCCATATATGGTCTTGTTTTCCTTAATGTACCTTTTGAATGAGTTTATTCTAATGACAACTCATTTACGATGATCAAAAACCCATTTTAGCTTGTCCGACGTAGCAATAGTGACTAGCGATCGAGCTCAAATATTGTTAAAAATGCCACTGTCTTTTGAAATGAGCATTTAATTTTTCTTTCTGCGAAAGCCACTTATACATTTCCAACAGACGATTTCTTTGCTCATATAGTTTCATCTATAGGTTTCTATTTTGTACGGCTGCATTTTCAGGATGATTTTAGCTTCTTCGTTGCCTTCTCCTCGTCRTATGCTTTGCGCTTATTTTCTAGTTTTCTTACCTAAGATAAAAAACACCWTACTTTGAATGAATAAGGAATGGATCAAACTTTAACTAACTTTCTACTTTTGCTTTTTAAGTTTTACTTTTATAGACAAAGAGGCAAACCAA